AGTAGTAGTAGTAGTAGTAGTGATGGTGTCGTGGGGCCAGTCGTTCTCCAACACTGTAGTAGTAGTACTGTTCTAGTAATGTGGTGATAGCAATACCCTAGCACAGCAATTACAGGGCTAGGCTTTGGTTGAGGCTTCGGCTTCGGCTTCGGCTGGGGTTCAGGTTAGGTTGAGGCTGAGGCTTAGACTGAGGCTTAGGCTAGTCTTCGGCTAGGCTTAGGCTGAGGTTGACGCCAAGGCTTAGGCCGAGGCTCGGCCGATGTTCAGGCTATGCTTAGGCTGAGGTGTGGGCTAGGCTGCGGTTTAGGCTGAGGCGGCGGCTCAGGCTGGGCTTAGGCAAGGCTTAAGTTAAGCTGAGGCTTAGGCGGAGCTGGCTTAGGCTAAGGCTCAGGCGTGGCTGTCTTAGGCTGGCTGGGGCTGGGGCTCAGTCCGCCCCACGAAAAAAAGTTATCGCATCGTCGCGGAAGGCGCAATGCGAGGACATGGAGGACGCGGGTGTTCAGGTATTTTGTTTGGTCGGAGGCAGCACGCGCATCAGCCGACAAGTCTCCTGCACGAACCACCATAAGGACAAACAAAACATGAAAATCGCAGGGGGGCGATTCGCCCCCTGACCCCCAACTGTGCAGTGATATATGCTATGGACAGCGACGCCAAAATCACTTCTGACCAAGACGGATACATACAACAGCTCCGTCCATTCCAGCATCATGAACTCACTGGTGCAGATGCTGAGGCCAAGGCATCGAAGATGGTCGCCGATATGTTTGTCATCCTCAGAGGCGCTCTGGCTTACGCCCTCATCACACTAGTGTGGTTAATGGTATAAGTTTTATCACTACAGCGTTCGCAAGAACCGACCAAATTCAAGTGCGACGATTTGACGCGATCACCAGGAAGCTGCAGGCCTGCCCTCAGAAGATCGTTTATCGAGCGATGACGCCAACGGGCGAGGCCGATCTGCATAGCGACTCCGGCTACCGTCGCTTGAACTGCGATGCCGACGACTAAGTCAAATGCCATGGTATTCGCGGGGCAAACCTGTTAAGGCGTTGACGCACGCGTACTGGTAAGCCTGTCGTCCATTTTGTCGACGCGCACTACAAGTCTCATCGCTTGCAAATCCGCTCGAGCTACTCAGCGGAAACACTAACAGCAACCCGCACATTGGAGGACTGTTATCCCACGATTGTTGTCACTTTGCGCGAAGTCAGCGCGGGGCCGCTGAGACCCCTCAACTAAAGGATATACATGATATGGGATGACTGAGCATTAAGGTCACTTTGACCATTGATGCAGTCTCTGCTTTCAAGTCCTTGTCAAGCAATGACATGAAACAGCCGGCTGGGTGTGAATTTTTGGGTCGCAGCATCCGGATACGGCAAATGATGGAAAAAAGGTATCGTTCACTGTGTGCAGTGGTGTGACAGTCGCGATATGGTTGCGGATGGCCACACCAAGGGGGGCATCGACAGAGTCATGCAGGAGTGCAGCCCTTCAAGCACGACCTGAAACTGCACCCGTCCCTACAGGGCTGGCCAGACGAGACCATCTGAGCCGCCAGAGGAGTAGTAGTCTGCGGGGTAACTTGCCTGCGAGGTAATTTGCCTGCGGGTCAACCTGCCTAGGTTGAGTCCGCCTGCTGGTGCCTACCTTGTGTACTATAGCTGTCTTGCAGAGTAAGGCCGGTAGTGGATTCACGGTTCGTCTTCCCCCCCCGACTGTAAAGGAGGCTGGGCAAAGGTTGGATGTATCGAGCGATTGTCCGCGGCCATTTCGTTGCAGTGACCGGCTATCTATTTGACTGTGCCTCTCTGAGGCGCACTACCATACGTCGAGATCGACAAGGCATCATCCCTTTCGCTTGAGATGTGTCGCTGCTTCCGCGACTCACTCCTACTTCTGGGACTATAGGTTTGGGTGTATGTTTCCGAGCAGAGTACTTGAATACCACCACCAATATCGACAATACTATACGATGCGATGTGGTGCAGGTTTGCTTTGGTGAAAAGCCTTCAGTCCCCTCCCCGCCGCCAGCGGCAACCAGTCTGCCCCCTCTCTCGTAAGGACCGAAGCAGAATTCATCAAAGGACGCGCGGTGGTGGTGTATATAAGTTTGGTTACCAAGGGGAACGCTTTTTTATACACCACCACCAAGAAGTGCTGTTTCTGCTTCAGAAAACTCCTCATGCCACGGCGCCGGCGAGCTGCGCCGCGTTCCTTTTCGCCGTGGCGTCGCAGCGTCGTCTGGCATGACCCTGCCCCTGACCCTTTTTGTGGAAAATTACTGTTGCGGGCGGTGGTTGTGTATACAAATTGGCCTCGCAATGTTGTTAGTTGGCCACCGCTTTCCTTCCTCCCTGAAGCTGTGGACCCCGCGTTCGTTCGCGCTCGTTGCCCCGCTTTGCGCTTGCCTGTGTACAGACCGCGACGGGATGGGCGACGGGGCGGAGGAGGGCGACGAGGAGGAGCAGGAGCAGAGGGGAGAGTGAAAGGGAGGACGGTGAGGTACTGAGGGAGAAACCTGGAAAAGGACGAGGAGGAGGGGGAGGAGGAGAACAAGGAAAAGGAGGAAGTGAGGAGGGGGAGAAGGAAATAGGGATGTGGAGGAGGTTCGAGGAAGCGCAATCATGCATTAAGGCGCGTGGGTTTTGACATGGTGAAGTTCCCAAAAACAATCGGCGCGCTCCGTCGCCAAATGAGGTGGCACTGGCCTATTATGTCGGGGGTCCCTCCGCCGATCCATGGATACGCCGCTGACGTGCTCGATCCACGGACCCCTCATCCATGTTGGCATGTGCCCGTGAGGTGGAGGAGGGTGAGTACGAGGAATAGGGCGGATGATGATGATGACGATGATGATGATGATGATGATGATGCTGATGCTGATGCTGATTACGATGATGATGCGGATGATGCTGATGAGGATGATGATGAGGTTGATGCTGATGCCAAAGCTCACGATGATGATGCTACTAATGCTGATGATGATGAAGGTGGTGGTGGTGATGATGATGGTGGCGGTTGTAGTTATGATGATGATGCTGCTGATGATGCTGCTGATGATGCTGATTGTAGTGATGATGCTGATGATGACGACGACGATGACGATGATGATGCTGCTTATGATGATGCTCTTGATGCTGCTGATTCATGATGCTGATGCTGCTTGTACTGATGATGCTGATGATGATGGTGGTGATGATGATGCACATTCTGATGATGATGACGATGCTGATGATGATGCTGATGATGATGGTGGTGATGATGGTTGTGATGTTGATGTTGATGATGATGCTGATTACGATGATGATGCTGATGATGCAGATGAGGATGGTGATGATGATGCTAACGCTAATGCTAACGATACTGATGATGCTAATGCTGCGGATGATGATGATGATGCTGATGCTGATGCTGATGATGATGATGATGATGATGATGATTGCTGTGCTGATGATGGTGTCGGTGGTGATTATGTTGAAGATGATGCTGACGATGACGATGACGATGATGATGATGATGATGATGATGATGATGCTGATGATGATGATGATGATGATGATGATGCTGATGATGATGATGATGATGATGATGATGATGATGAGGGGTCGGTTGCTGCTGCTGACGATGATGATGGTGGTGATGGTGATGGTGATGGTGGTGATGCTGATGCTGATGCTGATGATCATGATGATGCTGATCATGCTGCTGATGATGATGGTGGTGGTGGTTACGATGGTGAGGCTGCTGATGCTGCTGCTGATGACGATGATAGTGATGGTGATTATGATTATAGTTACGATTATGATGATGATGATGATGATGATGATGATGATGATGCTGATGCTGATGCTGATTATGATGCTGCTGCTGCTGCTGCTGCTGATGATGATGATGATGATGATGATGATGATGATGATGATGATGATGATGAGAAGGACGATGAGGAGAAGGAGGAGGAGCACAATGAACCCAGGATGTGCGGACGATGCTGCAACACACCCTTTCCTCACAAGTTAACCCTTTATACCGCGGACGTTGTTCGTCTATACGCCCCAATCTTTAATATCCAGCGCCCTACTGCCCTGCCATTCAGGAGGCGACAGCGGCGACAGCCCCGTTTGAAAAGCACAGACCCTACATTCTCATAGCCATACTATATTCGAAGGGGCGTGGCCATACGGTTAAAGGACGTGTTCACCTAGAGCCAGTTTTGTGAAGGAGGCGCCCTAAGTTTTGATGAAGTCTCAAGCGAGAGCCTCATTTGGAAAATGGGCCGCTCTCCATCTTTTCACAGCCGTTGCACATGTCTCCCATTCGGCTCAGAAAATAGAGGCTCAACTGATAGCCTCATTTTTGAAACTTACCGCCCTCCCTAATGCCCGCGGCGCGGAGGCGAGAGCCACTTTATGACAAGGAACCTCCCCCTTCTCATGTAGCCGCTGGAAGCATGTGAGACGAATGTGCGCAGCGCTGGCGACAATCCCACTCTGGAACGAACGCGCCCTCCATCCTTGTCATTCTGTTATGCTTTTCGGACGAATGTGCGCGGAGCTAAGGCGCGAGCCGCATTGTGAACACGGTTCGCCCTTCGTGTAGGTTCTGGAAATCCCAAGCTTCAGGACCGTAAGTGGTGATAGGTCTGAGAAGAACCATCCGGCCTTCCTTACTGACGTCTGATGGCGTGACGAGGAGGTTTTCTGCATAGACAAGTCGGAAGAGTAATGCAGGAGGATTAGGAGGAGGAGGAGAAGGAGGAGGAGGAGGAGGAGGGGGAGGTAAGTGAGGGAGGAGGAGGAGGACCAGAACGTCGGTCGGTCGGACGCAGGCTGATGACGCGTTGCCGTGCTCAAGGGAAGAGGGGGAGTATTGAGGATAGAGGAAGAGGAGGATGGGGGAGGGGTAGGTGGGCGAGGAGGAGCAGGGGGAGGAAGAGGGAGGAGGCAGGATGGGCATCCTCCTAGAGGGGATGGCTCGGCGGGCTGTGGCACCAGCAGGCCAACACGCCCTGGCGGAGCAGCTGTCGCTCCGCCCGCCCGCCCCGCCCCCTAGCCTGCGCCAGCGCCACGGGTGGCAGAGGCGCGTTGCGCGCTCTGAGGGTGTATCCGATGACGATCTGGGGCAGGATGATTATGACTCGAGGTTGTATTACTCGTTTGTAAGCTCCCCCTGCTTCCTTTCTGCGCCGTCATCGTTGTCATTGTTGCCATCGTGGTCATCGTCGTTGCGGTCGTCGTAGTCGCGCGCCGTCGCCGTCGCCCGTCGTCGTCGTCGTCGCCGTCGTCGCCGTCGTCGTGGTTTGCCGCCGAGGTCGCCGCCGTCGCCGCCGTTGTCGCGCGCCATCGTCGTAGTCGTCGTCGTCGTCGTCGTCGTCGTCGTCGTCGTCGTCGTCACCGCCGTTGGGGTTTACCGCCGCGGTCGCCGACGTCGTCCTTGCTGCCGTCGTCACTGCCGTCGTCGCCGCTGCCGTCGTCGCGATCGCCGCCGTCGCCACCGTCGCCCCAGTCGCCGCCGTCGCTGTTGCTGCCGTCATGCCGTTGCCGCCGCAGTAGCCGCGTCGCCGCCGCGGAGGCCGCTGTCGCCGCGGTCGCTGCGGTCGTCGGCGTCGCCGCCGTCAGCTGTCGCCGCGCCGCTTTCGCCGTCGCCGCCGTCGTCGCCGTCGCCCTCGTCGTCACCCGTCGCCGCCACCATCGCTATTGCCATCGCCCATCGACTCATCATCGCGGCGATCCGTATGTATCGGAGACGCATATGGCGAATCACCGCCCCTCTGCCTTTGGAATTGCCCATCTGGCCGAGCGTTGTGGCAAGACCACTGCCAAGCTATCGGGCCATGTGTCCCCCCAGCCTTTGTAGAAACCCTTCGGGGAACACTTGGGGGAGGATGGCGGAGAAGATCAGGAGGGGGAGGAGGAGGAGGAGGAGGAGGAGGCGGAGGAGGAGGAGGAGGAGGAGGAGGAGGGGACATCTTGGGAGCCTTTGGGGGCACTCTTGGGGCCTCCTTGGAGCTTCCTGGGAGCCTTTTGGAAGCATCTAAGAGCCTCCTTGGGCCTCTTGGCGGCCTTCGGGGGCTTCTCGGGGGCTTGTTTGGCCGTCTTAGGGCATTCCTGGCCCGTCTGACGCCGTCGGAAGGGGCGACCTGGGGCCTTCTTGAGGTGCTCCAGGGTCGTCTTGGAGGCCTTCTTGGGCGTCGTCGAGGCCTCTTGGGCCGTCTTGGGGCCACCTTGGTGCCGTCTTCGGGGCCTCTTGGGCCGTTTTGGGGCTATCTTCGAAAGCCTCGTGGGCGATCTCTGGGCGATCTTTGGGGGCTCTTGGGGCGTCTCGGGCCGTTGGAATATCGAAAATATGCAAATGCCACAATCCTTCGACAACCTAAGGACCATCAATGATTTTGGCATCTTCGGGCCTTCCTGGAGGACCTCTTGGAGGCCTCTTGGGCCGTCTTCGGGACCTCTTGGGCCGACTTCGGGCCCTCTTGGGGTGCTCCAGGGCCGTCTTGGAGGCCATCTTGGGCGTTTTGGAGGCCTCGTGGGCCGTCTTGGGGCCCTCGTGGGGTAGTCTTGTTGGGGGCCTCTTGGGCTGTTCTGGGGCCATCTGGGAGGCCTCTTGGGCGATCTTTGGGGGCTGTTGGGCCGTCTTGGGCCGTCGGAGGACCGAGAGAAGCAAATGCCCAAATCTTTCAAACACAATTTTTTTGGGGGCTCTTCGGGCCTCCTGGAGGATCTCTAGGAGGCCTCCTGGGGTCTCCTGGGCAGTCTTGGGTCATCTTGAGGCTATCTTAGGCCGTCTTGGAGGAATATTGGGCCGTCTTGGAGGCCATCGTGGCCATCTTGGGCCATCTTCACGGTCTTGAAAGCCATCTTGAGCCGTCTTTGGAGGATTTTTCTGAGAATTGCGCGCCTCCCGCGTGGCTGGCGGGACGGGCCGAACCCCCAGGGGAGAGTTCTTCTGGCAAAGAACCAACACCAAATCGTAAGACATCCAGCACGCCGGGCACCCCTGTGGCAAGATCACAGGGGGCGGCGGATCGAAGACGCCTACGGCGAATCACCGCCGCCCCCTGCATTTTTGGAAGCGCCTGCGTGGCCGAAAGTTAGGTTTGAGCTTGGCCAAGCTATCGGGCCACGCGTTCCCCGACTGGATTTCGAAAGCCTTCGGGGAACACCGAGTCGGGCGAGCCATCGGACCAGGTGTGAATTTGTGATCTGGGTGAGGACATGATCCGGGGTGATCTTGAACTCGTCATGGGTCTAGTTCTACTGTTTCACTTGCCTATCCGTAGGCACCCTTTTGGCCCAAGGTCTGTGCGTTCTTGAAAAGGAAGACGTGTTTTCTCTACCATCCTTCCAGCCGTTTCTCTGATGTTCGCGCGTGAGTGGTAGCGGAACGTGCACGCCTACGGCAGTAGCGAGGTGACGCTGATACACGGCAACAAGCCAGATGCGAAGGGACTGGAGCATGGCGACAGGGAAAACGGTGAGCAGGACGCAGAGGCCTCGCAGGGGGCTCAACTCTAAAGCGAGCTGGGGGACGTAAGGGGTGGAACCGAGCGTGCGCCCGCGGTCGCCTTGGCTCAAAGCGGCCGGCCGCCCAGATTTGACTGTGCCTCACCGCGAGGCACACTATCGCTATTGATACCAAAAGGCAACCCCTTTTTATTTGACATGGCATCCCCTCTTGCATTGGACCTATTGTTACTACGATACAACCGAGCTGGAGCCTGGCTTGCCTGAGGCGAAGCTGTTGGCTGGGCCTCCCAGCCCCCTTCAAACTTGGTAGCGGAGCTGGCCTATGGTGGTCAGCGCTAGCTCTACTCTTTACCAACCACGGCACTACCTGGTGGACTGCAGATACGGTGGAACATCAGGGTGCAGTGGCATTGGGCGGAGGAGTGTACATAGTTACGACGCAGTACCGCAAGGAAACTTGCAGCGACACCTCTGCTCCAGCGGAGGTCTCTTACTCATATTCTACATCCCTGCGCTATTACACTCCTGAAGTCCACCCGCCGACTCAAATTGGAAATTTCTTCGAAGACATAATGCATGGAAACATACGATACGATATAGTGCCGCCTCCGTCCCAGCGCAGACTTACGACGACAAAACACAAATCTCCACCGACTACACCCGACTACGACCTACGAGGCCATTGGATTGGGGTCACTATCTTTGGGCTCATATGGGTCGCTCTTGGGTGTGCGGTGGGACAGATGCGGGGCAGAGACGACTGTAGAACGACTGGCCCCCACTGGGACCTGCCGGCCAGGTACAATTTCGCGAGTTTGCCCGCGAGGTACACGCCTGGATCAACGTGACCACAGGCAACATGACGCCCTCCCAACAGGCCGCCGCAGTACAGCGCGGTCTTGGAGGGTTCGCGCGGACCATAGCCACGAGAGCCCCCCAAGCAGTCATCAATTTTGGTGTCAATATAGGTGGTCGCCATACCGACGGCGTCACCTACATTGTGTTCTTCTCAAGTGCGAAGTTCGAGAACCTAGAAGAGGAACGCCGAACGTTCGACCAGTCGTTAGCGCGGTTCAAGATAGCCCGCTACGAAGCTGAAACCGCCAGCTTCAGCATCCCCAACTTCCAGATATCAGCAGTAATATTATTCAGAGCTCTGGGAGTGGGGACGTCGCGGGCGCAGCAACTCCTGCAGCCTCTGAACCGCCATATGCCGAGGGACCAAGCACAATTGGATGCTCTCCTCGAACGTTTGAGCGGACCCCGGGCAATATCGGTTGTATTTTTAGTCACGGTCACCGAACCGAGACCTTCCATGCAGAGGCCAACGCAGGGCAACCTGCTAACAACGTCTGGAACGATGCTATGCCGCCGACTGAGACCACTACGTTGGTGAACGGCCTTGGGGTCTCAAGACCCTTGGGCCAGATCCAGGGGGCCACCCAATGCTGTCTCCCCTGTACAACTATGACCCTAACAGGCTCTGCGGGGCAACCCGCCGAGTCCGACTTCGACTCTGGCACCGATACCGATGCGTCTTCTGTTGATTAAGCTACCTTTTGGGGCCCCTCCGATGTGCCGATCTACCTCACCGCAGAGCAGCAAGCTCAGTGGTTATTTTTGGGCGATCAAAAACACAGGCGTCGTTGGCGGAGATTCATGAAGAAACCAGTCAGAAGAGTAAGACGCATGGCACGGCGGACACTTAAGGGAAAAGGCGAGGGTCGAAGTAAAGGCAAAGGTGAGCGTCGGCGACTACACGGTAGAGGCGTACTAGCATTCCTAGCGTCTCTCACTGGGCCCCAGCATGAAGAAATGTTTTTAGGTGCTGGCAGAAACCGTTGGCATGCATCAGGTAAAGGTAAAGGGCGACGAGGAAATCCAAAGGATGCCAACGATAAAACCATGGGGTGCGACATATGCCACAGTGCGCAACATTTCCGACGCGAATGCCCCCGAGGCGATGGGAGAGGCAGGGGTCCGTGAATGCATTTGGCTCTAACGGACTCCGACATGCAGTGCGTCGACCGGGAGTCGTTTCTGGCCGGTCCTGCTGACGGCTCAGCCACAGTCATTCATTTCATGGCTGCCAGGTATTTATGTGCCAATACGAACCTCGAGAATTACGCCGACGAGCTGTTTCAGGAGGTCTTCACTGGCCACGGCGATATCGATTTGGCAGAGTGGCTGGGTGCGCCCATCGCGGGGCAAACTGCAGATGTTGAGTTTGTCGAGAACTTCCACGTGCCCGTCGAAGGCGATGTCGGCATGGCGGGGGCACCCGCGGACTCAGACTCTACCGCTCCCGCGGCGGATCAGGGTGCACATGCCATGCTTTATCCTCGGGTGATTAGAAATTAGAAATCCGACAAACATGGAGTTGATCGATCATGATTTATTGCGCGGAAACCCGCGTAACGCTGGTGACCTATCTGTGAGCTTGGACGGAACGAAGAATTTCTTCATGCTTTTGTTGCGTCAGATCAGTCCGCTCGCAGTCCGCGGCAATCGTCAAGCCGCATGCCCTTGAGGAGGAAGAAGACATATCACGAC